CATACATATGGATATAGAGTACGACCAAATGGGTCTTACATTAATATTGTTTACATACATATGGATCTAGGAGTATGACCAAATGGGTCTTACATTAATATTATTTACATACATATGGATCTAGAGTACAACCAAATGGGTCTTACATTAATATTGTTTACATACATATGGATATAGAGTATGACCAAATGGGTCTTACTTTAATATTGTTTACATACATATGGATATAGAGTATGACCAAATGGGTCTTACTTTAATATTGTTTACATACATATGGATATAGAGTATGACCAAATGGGTCTTACATTAATATTGTTTACATACATATGGATCTAGAGTATGACCAAATGGGTCTTACATTAATATTGTTTACATACATATGGATTTAGAGTATTTTGTTTTCGGCATTAAAAACTGGGATTTCAATTTTAAAAATTAAATTTTACGTATTAAGTAAACATGAATCTAGCTAATACACTTAGGACCACGTGGTTTAGAATATTTCAGGTGTACGTTGATGTTGCTGGTCATTTACAGAAATCAAATTAGACAGTATAGAGTTATTGTTATAGTTACACTAGTCAGTAATGACCATTACTCATTTTAAAAATATCGTTACAATGGTCAGTACTTAACACTGCCATTCGGAAAATATAGTTACAATGGTCAGTACTGAATACTGTCATTCAGGAAATATAGTTACAATGGTCAGTACTAAACACTGCCATTCTGAAAATATAGTTACAGTGGTCAGTACTGAACACTGTCATTCAGAAAATATAGTTACAGTGGTCAGTACTGAACACTGTCATTCAGGAAATATAGATACAGTGGTCAGTACTGAACACTGCCATTCAGGAAATATAGTTACAGTGGTCAGTACTAAACACTGCCATTCTGAAAATATAGTTACAGTGGTCAGTACTAAACACTGCCATTCTGAAAATATAGTTACAGTGGTCAGTACTGAACACTGTCATTCAGGAAATATAGTTACAGTAGTCAGTACTGAACACTGTCATTCAGGAAATATAGTTACAGTGGTCAGTACTGAACACTGTCATTCAGGAAATATAGTTACAGTGGTCAGCGTACAGTAATTACTGTAGAACATGTAAAAATATCAAGAAAACCATCGCAGGCCTGTGTTATCAACAAGTTATCTTGAAAGTAGTTCTAAATGGGCTGAACGAAATATTATTACTTTAAAAATAAAATGAAAACTGTCAATATTAAGCAACATTATTTTGAAAACAGTTATGTTCTCTTCTTATTATGCACAGTTAATTTTAAAACAGTTAAAATGGTCATTATTGTACTCTGTTACTCTGAAGGCATAATTAAAGCGATCAGTTTAGAGCACTGTTACTCTGAAAACATTTATAATCACTTTTACACACTGTTATTATGTAAACAAATAAAATGATTAGCACTAAACAGTTTACGCTGAAACACAATACATATTGTTCAAAATACAGTTTACTTGCCACGGAGATATACGTAATACAACGAAATATCGCAAAATGATCATATCGCATTGAATGTTGCAGAAGCCACGAAATACATTTATTTGTTGTTGTTTTTTTTAATTTCGCGCAAAGCTACACGAGGGCTATCTGCGCTAGCCGTCCCTAATTTAACAGTGAAAGACTAGAGGGAAGGCATCCAATCATCACCACCCACCGCCAACTCTTGGGCTACTCTTTTACCAACGAATAGTAGGATTGACCGCCACGTTATAACGCCTCAACGGCTGAAAGGGCGAGCATGTCTGGTGGGACTTATATCGAATACAGAATGTCAATACTTAATGACGTCAAACAGCAGCTTTTAACTTAACCATTTACTTCTTGCTCTGAACGGAATCGAAAAAAACATCAACTATCAACGGAACAGCCAGAGCGACAAGTGTGTGTGTGTGTGTGTGTTTTTATAGCAAAGCCACATCAGGTTATCCGATATTTATTCACACACTCCAATTTAGAGTTTTAGACCGAATAGAACACTACAGAGTTGAGTTTTAGATTGAACAGAAATGCTGATAACCTCAGTTACTCAGTTGCTTGTGGAATTAGGGATGTGTGAAAATTTATTCAAACACTTCAGTTAAGAGTTTTAGACTGAACAGAACTCAACAGAGTTGAGTTTTAGATTGAATAGAAATACTGGTAACTTCAGTTATACAGTCGTTTGTGGAGTTAGGGATGTGTGAAAAGTTATAGTTTTATATTCAACAGAAATACCGGTGGCTTCAGTTACACCGTTGTTCGTGGAGTTAAGAGATGTGTGAAAATTTATTCACATTCTCTAATATCAAATAAATTACCAATATGTGGCGGTGTGTGTGTTATATCTTACTATGGTCTTTCTTTTTAGACTTAAAAATAACACATAAAACCAGGTTTCATAGTAAAAGCACACTTTCCACAATATGAATACTGTTTTGGCAAGCGGTTCGCTCTTTGGTAGCCAGATAATATTTTAAATGAAGGATCTACTAGGATAATATCTGGTTATCATATGAAGATAGGTTAAGATCTCTGAAATGATTTTCTCTTGGATAAAGAAGAGATAGAGTGGATCTGGTTGAGGTGTTTAAGTTTGTTAAAAGAATTGACAGTGTTGATGCATCATCTTTTTTACATATATAATAATGAGAATGGTAGGGCTAGGGGACACAAATATAAATTTTGGAAGGGTGGGAGTCAACTTCATCAAAGACAGTTTTATTTTTCTAACAGGGTGGTTGGACTTTGAAATGGGTTGCCTTCAGATGTTGTAGAGGCGGTAAATTTAAATGAGTTTGAGAAAAAGCTAAATAACTTTATGAATGATGAGGGCCAGCTTTGAGGGTTTGATTTTTTTTATTTAATTGCTTTAGTTTAAAGGATTGGACAGTCTACATGGACCACTAAGTCCCTTGTTGTTTCTAATCATTATGTTATGTTATATTCGTGTCTGATTGGCAGTTTCTTAATGTAACACTTTACTGCTTGTGTTGCATTGTTTGTTTATTTCAGTCTGTGGATGTGTTTAAAATTGGAAGTTTCTTGATGTAACACTTTACTGCTTGTGGTGCATTGTTTTTTTTTGCTAGAGTTTAGTATAGTCCCTTGTTATCTTCAAATTATATATATACACATGTGTCAACTTAAGGTAAATACAAAAAGCAAGTTGAGTACTAAGAGTAAGTAATTCTTGCTACCTATACTAAATACTTATGGTTACACATGTGCATTATCAAGAATAGCCGCTACACTTTCAATTTGTGATTGTTGTTAACCACACACAGCCGGATGGTTTGAAACGTCGCAGTTTTAAGTTCTGAAAAAAACATTTTTTTTCTCTTCAAGAGTGATGATGAGATCAGACACCAGATAAGAAACACGTGAAATTATTACATTTGTAAACATGAAACATTTTAATTAGTAAGGCCAACAATTGTTTGTTTTTTGTTTCGTTTTTTTAATTTCGCGCAAAGCTACACGAGCGCTATCTGCGCTAGCCGTCCCTAATTTAGCAGTTTAAGACTAGAGGGAAGGCAGCTAGTCATCACCACCCACCGCCAACTCTTGGGCTACTCTTTTACCAACGAATGGTCGGATTGACCGTCACATTATAACGCCCCCACGGCTGAAAGGGCGAGCATGTTTGGTGTGACGAGGATTCGAACCCGCGATCCGCAGATTGCGAGTCGAGCGCCCCCTAACCACCTGGCCTATAAAGCCAACAATCACACCTTGTACCTTGTCTTTCAAGATAGTGTAGAAAATGTTCTTTTAAAGTTTATATTCATCCGAGAAACCTTTGAGTCAATCGAATTGACGGGGCGTGCAGAAAATGAAAAGAAAGATAAAAGACTTAATTCTTCCAGAATTATTTATTTATCGCCCACAATATCATATTTACATTCATACCTCAGTTCCAAACTAATAATTTATTATATTGATTAGAGGATCGGCTAAATAGACCGACATTCCAAACATAATATGATGAACGCAAACTTCAAAATTTCCTACAGTTTGAATACGATCACATGATTAGTAGCTTTACATTCTCAAATCGGTTCCAGAAAGAGCGCAACCTCGTGACTAGAAGATGAAAGTCTTGACCGTTGCCGTCCTGGGTTGTGAAAACGTTTTCGCACATTTGAAAAGCAATCATTAAAGAACATCATTTAATATATTCTTAAAGCGAAAATTTTTTTTTGTGTGTGTGGATTTTCAACCTTTGTATTCAATTTACAGAAGACAAAACAAACGAAAAAGGTGCCTTCAGAGTCACAAAGGATGGACACGTTGGTTTACCATTTCCATCCAGAAATAATTTCTAAATATCTCAGTAGCAAATATAACTCTCTTATTACATCAAAATATTTTTAACAAGTCTTTTTTTTTATAAGTATAATGTTTTTTCTTAATAAACACAAACCTTAAAAACATAAAAAAAGAGCTGGAAAAACCAACTAACTTATAATTTCTACGTTGTAACTTCATATATATATATATATATATATAAAAAAAATGGGTTGAAGTTTGAATTTCTTTTTTTTTACGGACAAAATATCCAGCACATATCATACTTCTGAACCCTCACTTATAAGTATAATTCTCCCCAAATCCTGTTCTTCAAACTTTCTTGCATGCAACTTACAAGAGATAAGATGATATTCGAGATTTTCATATCCAATATCATCAAGAGAGAGAGAAAAAAAATCAATAACAAAAAGCATACCAATCAGTGACGCACGATTTTAATAGTGTTAACGTATTCCACACACAAAAAAAACTAAAGCATTTTATAACACCGTTCTGGTGTTAATCGAAACTGGAAGCTGTTCTATTGTTTTGTTTATTGTACAGTTTTACTTCCTTGTAACACACATTAAGTTGATTTTTGTCGGAACATTATTTGTCTCCATAATATCCGAGATATTTACGAACTTATATTCATTTATCTTCTTTCACAACATCTACAATCAATTTAAAAGTGCGATGGTTTAGTGGAATTAAGGATTAGTGTATCGATGACGAATGATGCGAGTGAGAAAGTAAAGGTAAACCATTTCGTGCGCTTTTAAGATATTTCCCTACAACCATGATAAAATTCAGATCACAAGAGTACTGATATAATAAAGCTCTAGAACAGATACAATATCTTCAAAAGTTGTATATCCATATTTGACTAGAAAGCCTCCAGTTATTTCAAGGAGACACTGTCATTGAGAAACGAATGGTGTGAACTTTGTGTCACTCCAAACAAGTGTCATGTAACACAACAATATGTTACAACAGATGTGTGAAGCTTGTACATCCAACAATAAAAAAAATGAATGTTCGGTTTAAACGTATATTTAGGCGACATGTGAGGTCGTTTCCTTCTTCATCTAGTCTTACAGCTTCTGAAGCAAATGTAAAAATTACACCTTCAAAATTACTGTGGAACATCAAAGAAAAGCGCAATATATATATATATTACTTTCAAATTAGAATAAAAAAATTAAATTACTTCAAAGGGAAAACCTTTTTTTTTCATACGTAAATAGAAAATATATCATTCTAGATGAGAATATTACATTTCTGAATTCGGACTATATATATCTTTCATTTCTAATGGATGATTTGATTTTATAGATGTCGCCCCAAACCGCATTAAATATACAAACTAGCTCAAGCTTACCTTTGCTGAAATTTCAAAAGCAAATTTGGAAGAATATCTTTAAGAAGTAATATCGCTTTGTGTACTGTAATCCCTTAGCAGCAATACATGTAAAGTTTCTACAATAAACATATTATACCACTTTATAACAGCATAAGATACTAGGCCACTGTAATACAACTAGTAAAGCATAAGCTAATTCATCTGCTGTTTCGTTTTACTGTTACAATCTTATTTTCTGAGGCACAGACATTTGTTGTTAGTGGATTGACAGGATTGGGGTGAATCTCATTATTAATTGGTCAAGCAGATGGTTGGTGTGTCCTCTTTCTAACTAGAACTACGCATTTAATAGTCCCTTGAAAAGTGGTAAATATGCCACGTTCAGCGAAACGAGGCAGCAGATCAAGCCATATTGTTATAGTTCCTTCATGTCCCATTTTTTTCTGAAAATGATTTTCTGCCAATTTCAACACCAAAGCCACAACTTTGATAAAGTCCTTCTAAACCATTACCGATAAGAAAACAAACAAATAAAACACACACGTTGCCAACATCATTACGCAATAATTTGGGCTACAATTACACATCTTCATTCTGGATCTTCCAGGCAATCACTATAGTAATTGTTAGTTGCCAACAATGTTCATTAGGCCTAAAGTTGAACTCTGTAACACTTCTACCACGTCATCATGGGCAAGGTTTCCTGTTTCTAGCAGTAACGTAAGGCAATACAATTTTTTTTTTTAAATCTAAACTTTAGTTCTATTGTGACTATCCACGTAATCACCGTTAAAGTTTCTGGTTCCTAGGCAACATCATCTCTTGGATCTAAGCTGCAGCTTTGTTGTGATTCTCTGATATCACTAGTAATGCTTCGTGTGACAAAAATAATGGAAGGCAGTATATATATATATATTTTGAGTTTAAACTATAGTTCTCTTCATTCTATCACTTCTTATGTTCTTTGCTGGCGACAGTAAAATAGGGCATATATTTTCTGAAACAAAATCTGACATTTACTTTCCCTTAATGAGATCTTCAGCTGGAAATATCATTTATCGTTTAACGTCGCCAGTAGATCATTGACTTTTTTTCTTACTTTTTTTCGGTCTATAATTTCAGCTTATCGTCGGTGTTGAGGTGTGGGCTGAATCCTTTTCTGTGCCAGCAAATTTCGAAGCTTTTGCAAATTGTTATGGGTAATAGGATCATCAGGTTTCAAACGAAGAGCTTCCAAATAACTTGACTCCGCTTCCAGAAGCTTTCCGTTCACGTGAAGCATGGCTCCTAGATTCATGTGACTCGTTACATCCTGCATAGTCAAAATAAAATTCCGTTTCAAGTCTTTAATGGAAAACGTTTCGTGTACAGATTTAGTATCATAAGCACATGCTATTCTTCCTCTAATATCTGTTTTGTTAAACTTCTGGTGAAGATAATAAACGAATCAAAACATTAAAATTAAAGAAAACGAGAAGACTACTCGTATGCCTTATAATAGTTCATTTAAATATCTTTTGGAGTGTCTTTCTATGAGAAATTAAAATGACCAATGACGCTGGAGTATTACTATCAAAAAAACAAACAAACATTAACTGTGCAATTAACAGAACCTTGGCAGTTAGTGTTTCTTCGAAAGTTTATGCCAATACTCACTATACTTGCAACCTGCAAGGTGAATACGGGAATACACAAACATATTCTACAGCTAAACACTACTTGTAACTATAAATCAAAACACTCAGGGGTCAGATGTATCCTAAAGCTAAACACTACTTGTAACTATAAATCAAAACACTGAGGGGTCAGATGTATCCTATAGCTAAACACTACTTGTAATTATAAATCAAAACACTGAGGGGTCAGATGTATCCTACATTTATAGTTACAAGTAGTGTTTAGCTATAGGATACATCTGACCCCTGAGTGTTTTGATTTATAGTTACAAGTAGTGTTTAGCTATAGGATATATCTGACCCCTGAGTGTTTTGATTTATAGTTACAAGTAGTGTTTAGCTATAGGATATATCTGACCCCTCAGTGTTTTGATTTATAGTTACAAGTAGTGTTTAGCTATAGGATATATCTGACCCCTGAGTGTTTTGATTTATAGTTACAAGTAGTGTTTAGCTCAAAACACTGAGGGGTCAGATGTATCCTATAGCTAAACATTACAAGTAGTGTTTAGCTATAGGATATATCTGACCCCTGAGTGTTTTGATTTATAATTACAAATAGTATAAATCAAAACACTCAGGGGTCAGATGTATCCTATAGCTAAACACTACTTGTAACTATAAATCAAAACACTGAGGGGTCAGATGTATCCTATAGCTAAACACTA